TACTGTATTGAAGAAAGAATTTTTTTCTCATCTATTAAATAAAGAAGGTGCCTAAAAGTTACTTTTTGGAATATGTAAAAATCCACTATCATTTTACATTCTTGGATGCCAGGCAAGAACTCCAGTAGTTTTATTTACCACTACCACTATTTCTTACAGAGTTTCTGAGATTCCACATTAGTAATAACAGATAATACTTACATCTACTGTGTGCCAGATGGTATCTCATACATTTTACACCCATTAACTCATTTAGTATACACAGAAATGCCTTTGAAAGATTTATTATTAATGTCTCCATTTCACAAATGTGGAAACTGAGGCACAGATGTGTGAGTTTCCAAAGATCACAGAACTGGTATAGAGAGGAACCAGGAATCTAAATTCAAACAGTCTGCAGATTCTGTGCTTTTAGCCTTCATTCAGCTTTAGAGAACAATGAAAAATTCTACAATTGAACCATATAACAATCATAAAATTTGCCAGGTAGAGGAATTTTAAAATAGTAATTCACCCATCAACTCACCACCACCAAACTCCTGAATTACAAAGCTTTTTATGAAGGATCGGCTTGGTTTATCAATATACTTAAAATGAACTTCCACCATTTCTCCTTCTGGCAAAAGCTAAACCCCTATCAAAATATGTATTTACTACCCTATTTTCACAATATTCATACATTCAAAAAACACAGGAGAAAATACATTCATATTTCAGAGCTTTATGTCTCAGTCCCTGCTAGTAGACTTAAATTCATTATTAGACAAAAAATTTTTTAACCTTCTTGAATGATGTAGAAGGCTTCTTGAAAATAGAAGTGTAAGAATGGTAGAAAGATTCTAGGATAGTTCAAAGCCAGTAAAAAGATAGAAATTTGAGGGAAATGCAATGGGAGGAGCCCAGAGAGTGATGTGAACAGTATACTGAGAAAACAGAAGTGAATACAGAAGAAAAAGGAGAATTCAAGTACCCGGGCAAATACAAAGAAACCAACAACCACCTATCAATATTCTTAAAGGAAGTCTACCTCAGTGAGTCAATCTGTCAATTCTCATCACATCTAGTTTCTCCTCAGTGAAATATGAATTGCAGACATCACCACAAAACTTAATCATGTATTAAAAAATGTATATATAACTCACACTTTGAAAATAGAGGCAATAGTTTTAAATGAGCTTTCTCATTATGTTAAGAGTTGGATATTCGGAGTTTTCTCTGAAAAGCAGATGAGTAATACAAATAATAGGTATCTATTATTTCAAATAAAAGTATTTTTTGAAATAGATTGCATTTTATTTAAAGAATAAAAATAATATGAGTTTAGTTTGTTATTAGTGTTTAAAATCATTTCAGAGGCTATTCAAAATAAGGTCTGTAATATCTCAGGAAACTAAAATTCACTAATAATATATTAATGTTATTTTACTAATCCTTTACACTGACCTAACACTATGGATATATTTCCAAAAGTAAGAATGCGATTGAGTTTGACAAGCATAACACAACAGCCATGGAAGTTACATTCTCCACAGTACAGTCCCCAAATAGTATTTAAAAATGCAAAGAAGTTGTGCATGGGTAAACATTCATGGTGTTTCCAAGTGAGGGATGTAAGTAGGGTAGTGTTTGAACCAATATTATATATAATATCTTCTGAGGCTCTCATTTGAGAGCAGTACCTTAAAAATTGAGAGAATTGGGGTAAAAAATACATAAGAGTTCATACAACTTACCCCCAGGATATAGAGATCTAGATGTAGATACAGATGTTGACCTATCTGTCACTTTATGCGCATGAACCCCATTGAACACTTACCAGTAGCAAACAGATTTATGAGCCAATAAACAGTAATCTTTTTATTGCACATATCAATACACTCAACCCCAAACCCTAGAAGATTTAGGAATCACTGAATGTAAATGAGTATGGTCCATGATTAAAAATCACGTATTCTTATTTACAGACGAAGCCCAGATCCAGAAACTGGAACACAAAGACCAAGAATCCACCAGCAAGGCTATGCAGTGCAAGCACAATGGATGCTAAACCTTGCACATTTTGTAGCTCTTGACAGGCTTTCTCTAAAACTGTGAGAGTTTCTTAATAGACCACTTAGGGTTCTGTGCCCATAAAGAACATGACTATTTTAGTTGAGTCAAAACAAAGAAATGAATACTAGTAGCCTCAAAATAAAGTCACCTACAAAAGATTAAAGACATAACAACATCTCAGCCTGGCCTATATATATATATATATATATATATATATATATATATATATAAATTCATTAAACATCACTAAAAGTGGTATAATATGTATACTATAAAAAAGATATTTTTAACACCAACTTTATTATTTTGGTCATGTAACAGGGAAACTGGATCTATATTCCTGTGAAACGTGATGCTTTCCAGAATCACCGGAATCCTTGTGCCACAATGGTGACTAAATACTAGTCAATCTATGTTACCTTATTTAGCTCTGAAGTCTGATCAGTTTCTATAATTTGCTTTTACTCTGGATGTCAGATAACAGCCATGCCATCAGTTTGGAAAAGTGGCTACTCTGTGCATGTAACTTAACAAGCTACTGGCCGGCGCTGCGGCTCACTAGGCTAATCCTCCGCCTGCGGCGCTGACACCCCCAGGGTTCTAGTCCTGGTTGGGGTGCCGGTTCTGTCCCACTTGCTCCTCTTCCAGTCCAGCTCTCTGCTGTGGCCCAGGAGTGCAGTGGAGGATGGCCCAAGTGCTTGGGCCCTGCACCCACATGGGTGACCAGGAGGAAGAACCTGGCTCCTGGCTTCAGATCAGCGCGGGCCACAACGCACCGGCCGTGGCGGCCACTTGGAGAGTGAACCAATGGAAAAGGAAGACCTTTCTCTCTGTCTCTCTCTCTCTCACTGTCTAACTCTGCCTGTCCAAAAAAAAAAAAAAAAAAAGTAACTTAACAAGCTACTCCCATGCCAAGCTACTCCCATCTACTTCCTAGATTCAAAGAATCTCAGGGGAATGAATGAGGCATCTTTTCTTCATTATATTGCCAAGCAAGATGCCTAACACATAGTAAGCACTCAATAAATAAGTACTGATCCAGAGTGTATGTCCCATAGAGCAAGGCAAACTGACTTTTTATTCTCAATGTTTTATTTATTTCAAAGATCTCAAGTTTTGCCCACACTAGGTGATTATAAATACCCTCTTTGTCCTAAGGAAATCTGTCATGACTAACCAGTTTTTTTCACAATGAGTAAATAAAAACAAGAAATTTATTCTTCCCTGCTCTAAATAGTTTTGTTTAGATCGATACTGGTTCAAATCAAACTTAATTGTTTTCAGTGTTCGGTTTAATGCAACCTGACAAATACACTTTTGCTTTTAAAATATGCTTTAGAATAATGCCTGTTGGGAAAATTAAGTGGCTTAGAATCTTCCTTTATGTAATAATTATTATGGTAATAGGCATTCAGCATTCAGAGATTAGCAGACATCCACAAACTCAAGTGCAAAGGAAATTGTATTGGGTGGAATAATTTTAATAAAAAAGATAATGTGCTCAATAGCCAGGTAATGTATTTCAAGTTTTTAATTTTTGATTATCAGCCATGGTGCTAATGAGGCCAAAGTCATGAGCTTAATCTGCACATGTATAATTAGTGTTGTTTTGCAGCCTGGATTGTACTCCAACCTGAGTTAGCTGACAGAAATGGGGTTAAAAACATAAAGAAAATGATAGAACAGGAATCCACACAAATCCATCTCCACTAAGGTTACTAAAACAGTATATACACATAATGACCAGCAATGTAAACAATGACACTTTAATATTAATTTAGTTGAAAGCTGGCAGGTCATTCAAAAATTCTTTTAAGTTGCAGGTTTTTTTTTTGTTGTTGTTGTTGTTGGTTTTTTTTTTTTTTTTTTTGATAGGATGAGTTAGAGAGAGAGAGACAGAGAGGAAGGTCTTCCTTCCGTTGGTTCACCCCCTAATAGCCACTACAGCTGGTGCGCTGCGCCGATCCGAAGCCAGGAGTCAGGTGCTTCCTCCTGGTCTCCCATGCGGGTGCAGGAGCCCAAGGACCTGGGCCATCCTCCACTGCATCCCCGGGCCACAGCAGAGAGCTGGCCTGGAAGAGGAGCAAGTGGGACAGAATCCAGCGCCCCAACCGGGACTAGAACCCGGGGGTGCCAGCGCCGCAGGCGGAGGATTAGCCTAGTGAGCCGCAGCACCGGCCAGCAGATTTCTTTTGATATATTTGGGATTATTTTTATTTATAACCCCCAAAATTCCCAGATATAAATACTAAATATAGTTATAGAGTAACATCCAATTTCTAAGACACAGTTAATAGTCTTGTTACACAATAACTATTAATGAAACCATGATTAGGAAATCTAAGTTAAGATCAAATCACAGGACTATATCTTCATCATGAATTTTCAAGTGTAAAAGGCAAACTCAACAGCTTTTAGGTCTCTCTTCCTGGAGGGGTTTTAAGGAAACATTTTTTGCTTTTTTTTTAATATAATATTCAGCCACAAAACAAGATTGCCTTAGAGAATGTATCTTGCATTAAAATGAGCAATCATACATCCTAGCTTATAGCGCTGGCAAACACTGGAGTGCCTTCGTAAACTTCCCTAGAGACCTTATTAGAAGTGCAGACACCCCCGGCCCACTCCCTGGGACTGTTTCTGCACGTTTAAGGCAGGGCCAAGCCACCATACTATGAAGGAGCACGAATGTCAGCGATGCACATGAAATTCTGGGTCAGCATTGAAACTGCCATGATGCTAACACATCCCCCTGAAAAGTAAGTTTACATTTTTTGACCATCTCTGTACATGACAACCTTCCCACTTTCTCAACAAATAGGCAGACATATTTAAAGCTATACAGAGTACTTACGGTCTACAATTCCCCAGCTAGTCAAGTTAAAAACAAGTCAGCATTAATAACAGAACAAACTTCAGTTTAAGATGCTCATTTGAAGTAAAGGTACCTAATGCAACTGGGTCCGGGTTCACGGGACTCTGCTGCCTGGAGTGGCTGCTGCTACTGCTGCCGCCCTTTTTTAAGTCCTCAGCGTCACTGTACCGCCGGATCCAGTAATTCAGTTCCTCCCGGTCTGCTTCCTGACATCGCCTTAGTACGGTGAGAGATCGCCTTGTTTTTTCTACCATGTCCATTATGCAGTTTAACAGCTATACGAGGAATGGGGGAAAGGCAAGAAGACATGAATCACCACAAATTAAAGACTTCAGTGCGAAGTGAAATGAACTATGTCAGGACAATGAAGGACAGGATTTTATTCCTGAAGGCTTCATCTAATGTGTTCAGTGGTTGGATTTGAACTTCAGACCCAACAGATGAGCAAATTTAGCTGGAATGACAAGGAAAAATGGGAGGTATGACTGGTGAGTCATGATGACCGATTTCACCAGAAGGCACTGTAGCCTGCAAATCTACCTTTCTAAATATTAATCCCATTATTCTATAAACCAAATAACCCTTTCGCAATAAAACAGTAGTCTACTTATCTGGCTTGGAGAATATCTTTACAAGATCTACACTTCTGTAGCCTACATATCAATTGAGAAATAGAATCCTATATTCTTCTTCAAACATTCTCACTCATTGTTTCTTTTTCAAGAAGAACAGAAATGAATTACCTTTTAACCATCACCAAGCTTTTGTTTATCACATAACCTCACACTACTTGTTTTCAAAACGTTTCTTAACCCAAATAATAACCGCTATCTTACATGGTCAAGATGTTTCCATTCTTCTGCCCATTCTCTGTCTGTTAGTCTGTGATCAATCATTTCTTCTTGACGTGTGCCATGCAACCCTATAAACAAAGAGCAGTTTTAATTACCCTAAAGCATTCAGTACACAACCCATACGCACCCAAGTACATAGCAAGGACCATCTGAGCAAACTCAGTGATGGAAAATATATTTGATTTTGAAAGGAGACATGCATCATGTTTAGATTTGGAATTACCCAATGGTTTCCTCATAGAATGATAAAACATTAGAACCAAAAGAAATTTCAGGGGTCAGAATCCTTTATTCCCACATGAGAAGAGAGAGAGCTAAGCGACACCAAGTACAGGGTTAGTTATTCATATAATACTCCCTAAATAAAAATATATTCTTAACTCTTAATAAATATAGAAAATGACAATAAGCCATTAAGGGGTACCAAAATGTGGCTCTCTGCATTAAAAATTAAGATCCCATAAGTCATTTTACATGATCAAGAATGTGCTTTTCTAAATATGCATGCTAAAAATTTGTCCACATTTCAGCATAGTTACAAATGAATGTAATCCTGGGGCAGGCACTGTGGTGCAGCAGGTTAACGCCCTGGCCTTATGCACCAGCATCCTATATGGGTGCCAGTTCAAGCCCAGCTGCTCCTCTTCCAATCCAGCTCTCTGCTATGGCCTCGAGAGGCAGTAGAAAATGACCCAAGTGTTTGGGCCCCTGCACTCACGCAGGAGAGACCCGGAAGAAGTTCCTGGCTCCTGGCTTCGAATCAGCGCAGCTCCAGCCTTTGCGGCCAATTGGAGTAAACCATCGGATGGAAGACCTCTCTCTCTCTCTCTCTCTCTCTCTCTGCCTCTCCTCTGTGTAACTCTGACTTTTGAATAAACAAATCTTTAAAAGAAAATGAATGCAATCCTAATAGACAGATCTAAATGATAAAATTAGGTCCATGAAGAGAGAGCTTAGATAATGTGAAAGTTAGATACACTCAATTTACCAAAAAATAAAAATGAATTAGATATCCTTGATGAGAAAAACCAACATACTAGATATAATTTGACAAACATATATCCAAGCCAAGAAACTACAAATGCGAAGTTAAAGTCCATGAGGATTAACAGTCCTTAGCATAACAGTTTTATTACTATGAAAAAGTAACAAATGTTTACCAAGTGAACATCAGTATTATTGAACATGAGCAGTGAACAAGGATGTTCATGAAAATAAAAAAGTAAATGTATCTCATTAAAAATACAGGGCAGACATCTCCAATCAGAGATACCTGGAAACATGCTGTCCCTCTTACAGATTCTCTGCGGAGAAAACAGCCTGTGTTCTCCTGTACAGGAAAGGCACTACGACATTATTATTATTATTATTATTATTTTTTGACAGGCAGAGTGGACAGTGAGAGAGAGAGAGAGAGAGACAGAGAGAAAGGTCTTCCTTTTGCCATCGGTTCACCCTCCAATGGCCACCACGGCTGGTGCACTGTGGCCGGCGCACCGCGCTGATCCGAAGGCAGGAGCCAGGTGCTTCTCCTGGTCTCCCATGGGGTGCAGGGCCCAAGGACTTGGGCCATCCTCCACTGCACTCCCAGGCCACAGCAGAGAGCTGGCCTGGAAGAGGGGCAACCGGGACAGAATCCGGCCCCCCGACCGGGACTAGAACCCGGTGTGCCGGTGCCACAGGCAGAGGATTAGCCTAGTGAGCCACAGCGCTGGCCACACTATGACATTATTTGTCATTTGAAACAATCTATCTGTACTATTCTTTTGGTCACCATTTCTCCTGCTGGGAAAGGCACATTGAGCCTATCATGATGTGGGCTTTTATGTAAGAATTAAATACAAGAGTTATAAGATCATGCATTCCATCTTTTGTGAAATCTTAGTGGATAGAAATCCCTTCCTTTAGTTGATATAAAGAAATAAGAATGTCAGTCACATGATTCTTTTCAGCCAACCACGACCTACAACTTCATTTGTAATGGTCAGGTGTGAATAATTTCACAACACTTTTTTTCCTCAGACTAAATAAAAAGCTCTATATAAAACATTTTGCATCACTCCTGTCCAATTAGAACTTATTCTGTGATGCATTTTAAAAGTTAAAATTATCAATGCCACCTATTGGTTAAGGAGTAAAACTGCAAATATGTTTTACTAATTTGCATCATAGAAAAGACACTGGGGGAAAATAATATTTAGCTATTGCTCTGCTTGTTATGATTACTTCAAATTGAAATGTTTGCAAATATGTGATTTTTGTTGACTTACTGGTTGCTTGTGTTTTAGGGAAAAGACACTACTGTTAAAATTAGTCATCATGGAAAACAACTGGGGAGTGATAAGGATATAAATATGATGGTGACTTTCATGATAGAAGCATCTGCCTGTTTGCCTTGAAGGATCAAGAACTTCAGAGGCTTCAAAGTTCCAAAATGTCAGTGGACTAAATAATGACACAAGCTGTAATAACAGAAATAGCATTAATAAGCAACAGGATGTCTGTGGCTAGCAGGATTCCAGCATTTGTGCAACAGTGCTAACCTTCAACCCATTTGCTAAAAAATAGTAATTTCATTAGAAACAGCTTTGAGCCCAAGCACTTGGTGAAAAAATAGTCTTCATTTGCTCCTTGTGAACTCTTAAAGTCATTTCTTAGATATAATCAAATATTTAAAAGGAAAAAATCAAAATTTTATATTTATTATTTATTAATTTCTCTATCTCAGATACTTAAATATTCAGTATCACATCATTTTTATTTATATCCATAATACCAGAGGGATGTACAAATATGAGAGTTAAATAGAGCATTATCCTTAGAGAGTACATTTTCCATTTGTAACAAACTTGACGCTAATGTTGGGTCTTTACCCAACTAGGCTAAAACTCTAGCTTACTTATAAACTAATACTGCTTTTATTTCATTAAAGAATTCTAGTAATTCAACGTCCCTATATAACATGCAGTTAGAAATCATACCAGACTAAGTATACCTTTATAACAATTTTTATATTCTCAAAATGGCAGCCTGATATTACACCATCATTTGCGACTCATACATCATCAAGATTTTATTTTACATTAACACGCACTAAACTCTGCCAGACTTTAGGGATGGTTAAGTAGCTGCATATATTTATAGAGATTAGCACTATTAGTTTTATAAGCTAATATAATTAAAAGGTAAGGAACATGGTTGAAGAAAATCACATAAAGCCAATGGCTACAGATATAATTCATAAAGGGATATTTTACATTGCTAGATGAAAACATAATCATTGCACATAAGCATAATTACTTCCTTGCTGATTACCTTACAGTGCAGTGGAACTAATATTTCACAAAATAGCATTTGTTGCCTAGAAATAGGCCATTTCCTAGCACCTACAAAATGGGATCTCTTGAACTTATCTTACAGTGACCCACTGACTCATCCCTTGGCAAAACAAGCAATCATGATTTTCAGGCCTTTGTCATAAATATGTCATGCAGATTTGTATTGAAAGGAGTTGTTATGACATCTGATTTGGGGGTCAAAATATCAATTCACACTGAGGAATAGCACAACCATTTTTGAGCACTCTTTAGAAATGGTACCTGTGAGAACATCAGACAGATTGGCTATTAAGAAACACAAATTATATGCTTAGCCATTTGTCTGACACACCATATAAATGCAGAAATTACTGAGGTGGGAAAACAGAACTACTAATTTACTATCTCAGAAGCAGAGGCTCAGTGCCTCTCCTCTAGAACTGACTCTCTCTTCCTGCTTTCTAAACCTCTGAGGAGTCGTGGATAGACAGATGAAAAGACTACATAAAATAGGCCCCGTGTGCTAGCAAGTTGGTCGGAAATCCAGTGTAAACTTCTGCATATCAGTCTAGCTCTGGTTGTGACTTTAAAAAAGTCACTACGATTCTAGCAGGGGACTCACTGCCTGGCAGTGCTTCCCAGAGTCCTGCATGCTCAGCTCTTCCCAGGATTCTGCCCACCAAGCAGTCCGCGTCAACAAAGTTTCCCAGCAACTAGTTGTGAGGTAAAGGAAGTCTTGTTGGTGGGTGGTAGGGACACAGGAGATAGAAAAAGAACACAGTGCTGGGTGCTGGCTGTTGTGCTCGGTCAGATCCAACAAAACTTAGGAGGAACTGAAGATGCCAAGGAGCAAGAGTACCTTTTTTTTTTTTTTTTTTTTTTTGACAGGCAGAGTGGACAGTGAGAGAGACAGAGAGAAAGGTCTTCCTTTGCCATTGGTTCACCCTAAATTGGCCACCGTGGCCGGTGCACCGCGCTGATCAGAAGGCAGGAGCCAGGTACTTCTCCTGGTCTCCCATGGGGTGCAGGGCCCAAGCACTTGGGCCATCCTCCACTGCACTCCCTGGCCACAGCAGAGAGCTGGCCTGGAAAAGGGGCAACCAGGACAGAATCCGGTGCCCCAACCGGGACTAGAACCTGGTGTGTCAGCGCCGCTAGGCGGAGGATTAGCCTAGTGAGCCACGGCACCGGCCAACAAGAGTACCCTATTAAGCCTCCGATACCATCACCTCAACCCCAGACCATGGATCAAAACTTACCCCGCTTCATCTTTCTGCTCACTTATTATACTTGTTCTTTAGAAGACAGTGTTTCCTAAATGCGTCATTTCTAATAGTTTCATGCAAAAAAGGAAGGGGCATAGGCTAAAGGAACTCATATTGGCCCAAATTTACTCCTCCTTTGGTATTCTGATCTTTGACACAAAATTTTCATGACTAAGTTTAATCGCTGGCATTTTCCAGTGAAGCACCATATCAGTCCTCAAAGCACATATGTCAAGTTAAGCTACAGATGGCTTTTTTTGGAGATAGGAAATATCATGGAGATTGGGAAAATCAAAGTGAACTTTGAGACTATCTTAAATAAAAGAGACATCAAGAAAAGAGAACTGCTTTAAAAAAATACTTGTGAAAGTAGGCATATGAGACCTCTCACGTTAAAAAATAATTCAAGCTAAAAATTCATTTGTCACTTGTTACCACAGTTGAGAGTCTTGTATGAATTTAGATGTTGCCTAGGTTAGCTTGCTATCTTAAAGAATGCAAGTAGCTAGGACAGAGAACACGCACAACTGTTGAAGAGTGTAGTATTCCAATGCCAACCAACTTTTCTCATAAAGGAGAGAATACAAAGGAAGGGAATTTTACCCCTGTTAGATTGCAAGCCTCAAGTTTATTTGAGGAGTAACGAGACCATGCTTCCAGCATTCAATCCCAAAAGAAGGGATCCTTCAGTCTTACCCATAGGTCTGTTTCTGTCCCTGAGGTCCCTGTGGCTGGGGTGTCGATAGGAGTCCCTGTAGTGGTGGGCAATGGCCATATCATCCAAACGGTAATGCTGGGGTGGAGGTGGGGTGGGGTGAGGCAGGCCGTTTGGCTGGTAGGATAAGCCGTTATTTGGACTGTACCGCTGGCCTGGGCTAATAGTGCATGGCCGCTTGCTTGGATGCTCTGAGTGCAAAGGCTCTCTGTCAAAGCCATTTTCTTTGGTTCTGAAGGAAGAAGAAAAAGAGTTAGTTTCAAAAAGGAGTCAGAAACCAGCACAGTTCAGACACTCTCATTTGAGCTTGCAATATAAACAGAAGATTCCTGTTTTAGCCAGAAATGTTCTGAACTCAGCTTCTCAGAAAACCTATGGGAATTCACTGAAACCCATGCTGTGGCCTGCGGGCTCACAAGGCCACACACAGGAGAAAATGCCACATGGCTCATCACTTCAGCACAACAGCCTTCCAGCTGAAAATCACCAATAATAGGAGACTTGGTCTCCTTCCGTAGGTAACATTTTCATTCAAAAGATAGTAGTTGATTTCTAACAAGTTACACTAAGAGTGACCGAATGGGAAGATTCATCACAGGAAAATATTATAACTACTTAAGATCCACCTATTCCACCTGGCATCTGACTTTCATAGTACACAGCATCTAAGAGCTGTGTTCTCCAATACAGTAGCCTCATGTGACTGCTTAAAATGTTAATTTAAATTAAATATGTAAAGCTTAAAATTCAATTCTTCAGTAGCAGAGACCACCCTTCAGATACTCAATAGTGACTATGGCTGCTGGTTTTAGTCCCGGACTGTGCATATATAGAACGTTTCCATCATCACAGAAAATCTATTCAAAAGCAATGATTTAACAAGGATGATGCAATGAACAGTTTAATGTCTTGAACCCTCAAAATATCTTGTGTTACCAAGACAATGTATGAGCAATCACATAGGACTAGCTAGGACCTGAAAAAAAAAAAAAAAAAAAAAACTAGGATTCTCTCTTTCCTTATTCTAAAGTCAAGGAACACGTGCCCATTGGCAGGACGGTCAAATCCTGACTGTACTTCCTCATATGATGCACTGAACTTTGAACCTGACTTTTGGAAAGAAGACATTCCATGAATGAGACCTGATAACTAAGTATTTCTCCTGAATTCTCAACAAAAAGCTACAGAAACATCTTCTCCCTGAACATATCTCTTTTGCCTAGAGACAAACCCAACAGACTCAATGAGAACCAGAGCACAGTCAGACTTCAGTGGAAACACAGCATCTGGCTCTCCTCACAAAGCCAGCACACTCTCCTTAGACCAATGGTGCAATTTCTATTTTCCCAGGGAAATGTCTTTGTGTGAATCCTACCAATGCAGAGTGGCAGCAGATTTCCACATGCCTTTTTTATTTGAGGCTCATAAAACCATAGCATAGAGGCCTTAAGACTCTTCCCCTACTTGCCAGGCCATCTTTATCTGATAATAGCAGAGGGATCCAAGTGGAAATTAAATAAACAACCAAGATTGTCCAGGACCAACAGGGTTCTGCAAAGAACCATCCTTCATGTTTCTTTAGAGTGGAGCCCCAGTGACAATTTACACACAGCAGCTTGAGAAGGGGAAAGACAGAATGGATAAGCACACAGAGAACTGAGGGGAGGTCTACAGACTTTAATGTGAAATGAGTATTTGCCCAGTGCACCTGGAAGAAGGATGCACTGTTATGGAGATAGGAGACTGGCCAGTACTGGAAGTGACAGTAGGGCATGGCCTCCATGGGAGTGGCAGCCAGCAGTCTCAGTATTTCTCCCATCAAGGATGTGTCTGCACTAAAATGTACTGACTCCATACATATTGATCATTGATATCGGACTAAAATAGCCAGTATAGCTCAGACATTATCTAGATGCATTGCTTTAAAATAATTTTTAAAGTGAAAGGAAACATTCTAGGTATTGATTTGTTTTCAAAGGGTTTTACAATCTATGGGGCTCCAATCTGCATTTTCCTATCTCATGCATCTCTGAGTGACACACTTCAACATCCGATGCATATTACCACATAAATTGGTTGGAAAATACTGAATACTATTATTAGCTATGAACATAATGCTAACACAGCACCTACCTTACTGGCAGTGTGGTGTAATGGAAAGAGTACTGGACTAGGAATCAATAGACCTGAGATCTAGTCCTGGCTCTTCCACGACTAGCTGTGTGACCTCGGGCAAGTCACTTACCCTCTCTGGACCTCAGTTTGCTCATCTGTAAAATGAAGGGTTGGACGAAATCAGTGGTTCTCAAACTGTGCTACTTGCGGTGCTTAAGGGATTCTGCAGTCACAGAAGAACATTTCCCTCAACTAATCAAGATGCAGAGGGCCAGAGAAACCCACTTACTATGCTTATCTGTTTTAAAAATTGTGGTTCCATATAAGATTTCATTTTTAAAGGAAAATGCTGCTAAATGTTTCAAGTTTGAAAACCACTGGACTAGATGATTTTTGAGGTCCCTTGTATTTTGAAAACTCTGCAATTCAATTTTTTTATATTTATAGTTAACTGTCATGGTTATGCAGCCCAAAGCACACAGAACTGATGGTCTCCTAGCCAAACTGTGTCTAAGTCAACCACTTTAGCCAAGTTCCCTGTTTTTTGAACAACTTATTATTTATAGCTTATTTGTTTTCTTTAAAAGTGGAAAATATAATCTAAGTATCTTAGAGCAGCCCTGTAGCATTTCAAAATATCAAAACATCTTTGACCCATTTGTGTCAAACCAATCTAATATACTGTTTTTGTCTCTACTTGTTGAATGATAACAACATACAATGCTGGGAAAATCTTCACAGTTTTCAAATGGTTAGATATGTTCGTTATCTCCATCCTCAGATGAACCCTCTGTTCAGTTCTATTAATTCAATGAACCAGTTATATAGGGGACGACGCAGTGGGGAAACATTTGTCTCCTAAACAAGAGAAATAATATCCTAAGAGGCAGGGCAAGATCTTGAATGTGTCCTGTCTCATCTATAAAATGCTTGCTGTCCTAGATTGCATCCAACACTCTGACAGCTATTGAAATAACAAAACTCATCATTTCCCAGAAGTAGTATATTTTAATAGTGAAGTATTAAAAATTTCAGGGCCCACAGGCATAAAGTATGAAGGCTCTCGCTGGTGCTTCCTCAAATCATTCCTGTCTGTCGCTCCCCCTCTTCGCGGAGGAACGACGCAGGACCCTGCGCTGTTCTTTCCTCTGCTCGGCCCTCCCCGGGTTTGCTGCTGGTTCTTCCCGGGTTGGCTACTATCCCTTCCACCTCCGTGGAAGGGCAGTTCCCCCCGGCCACATTCCCCACTTCCGCAGGGGAGCGGCATACCGCCGGCTGGCTCTCTGGGGGCTGCACAGGTGTTCCCTTAGATGTTCCCCTTAGATGTTCCTGGTGCATGCCGTCTCTCTCCTCCTTTATAGTCCTCCTCCGCCAATCCCAACTCGGCTGCCCACACGCCGAGTACGCTGCTCTCCTCCAATCAGGAGCAAGTCCTACAGTTTATTGGCTGAACTGGAGGCAGCTGTGTAGAAGCTGTTTTCTTCTCTCCCAGCGCCATATTGTGGGAGAGCAGATGCATAGAATAAGTCTTAATTCCAGTAACTTAGTCTAGTCCGAGTTGCTCCCCACACTGTCTTCTTGTAACACCAACCCTGTTGAAAGGATGTCTGTCCACAGAAGGAACTAAAACAACCTCATTACCATTACCATGTGTCTGCTTGCTTCTTAGAAATGCCTACTAAAGGCTGGTGCTGAGGCTCACTAGGCTAATCCTCCATCTGTGGCACAGGCACACCGGGTTCTAGTCCTAGTCGGGGCGCTGGATTCTGTCCCGGTTGCCCCTCTTCCAGTCCAGCTCTCTGCTGTGGCCCAAGAGTGCAGTGGAGGATGGCCCAGGTCCTTGGGCCCTGTACCCGCATAGGAGACCAGGAGAAGCACCTGGCTCCTGGCTTCAGATCACCCCATTGAGGGGTGAACCAAAGGAAAAAGGAAGACCTTTCTCTCTATCTCTCTCTCTCACTGTCCACTCTGCCTGTCAAAAAAAAAATAAAGAAAGAAAGAAAGAAAAGAAAAAAGAAATGCCTACAAAAAAATAAAACTATCTACATTTCTTTTGCTTGGGGAAATTTCATATTTGTTTTTATCTGCTACCATTCTCAAAGTGTACTGGGCAAAACTAAGTATTTTCCATTACCCCATACTAACATATCCTTGAAATAACTCAAATTCTAGTGGGAAGTCCCTCATGCCTCTGGAAGGCTCTTTGTGTTTGTTTTTCAAGTGCATCTGAGGGTGTTCTGCTGCCCTACCAGAAGACATTTTCCTGAACGTAACCTAACCGCTTCCACACTTCCACACCATTCACTTCTCTCCTGGGATTCAATATCCTAAGGGCAGAGGATTGCTCAGAACTCAGCTATGTGACCTCAAGTTGCTTAACTTTCTGGCTTCAGTTTCCTGCCCAGTAAAATGGACTAATAGGAAACAATACTTGTAAAACTATTTAAGAGGCGACCAAATTTACACTTTATCCCATCTTAGGCTGCTTTTTTCTAGTTCCTCAATCTCAGTGGCTATAAAACTATTTAAAAAGAACTTTGTTAAAAACTTTATATAAAATGTTTAAAAATTCATGAATGGCTAATGTGGTACTAATAATCCCTTAGTAACATTTAGATAAAATAACACCCGAGGAAATGGGAAAATATGAAAAAAATTTATTAAAAAATCAAGGCAAATTTCCCAAATGCCAGAAAGAATTATAAGGGTGTTTTTTTTAACCCCTAGATTAATATTTTCCTTAGTTGGAGCAATACTTCTATAAAGATTGTTCTAAGGAGAGGCAAATTGGTATAGTAATAATAAGCCTTAGAATGAGAAGAAAGAAGCTCAAACTCTAGTTTGAGTTTTAGTCCTGTTACAAATAAATAAATTAGGTGTTCACTTAGCATTTTACAATGAACATGCTTAATCTGGCCTCATCTTTCTTTTGTGTGTTTTTTACTTGCTGCCTTCTATAAAGTCACCAAATTAAAACTTAGGAGTCACCCTATAACTCTTTTTTTTTTTTTTTAAGATTTTTTTATTTATTTGAAAGGCAAAGTTACAAAGAGAGAGGGAGAGACAGGGAGATAGGGAGACAGGTACAGGGAGTGGGAGAGGGAGAGAGAGATCTTT